AAAAAAAAAAAAAAAAAAAAACATTGTCCTTTAGGACAACAACACAGGAGAACTCTGTGTGTATAAAAAGGTCCCGGAGCTCTCCAAACGTGCGGAGGACGGTCATCGTGAAGGTTTTAGTAGGTAAGAATCCGACACTACCTGGGTCTTCCCTTAAAAGACTCGGTTGTCTTATGAAGATTTCCTCCACGTAAAAAAAAAAAAAAAGTAATGAACTATCTTGACGTACGAGATTAGAAAGGATATTGTGAAATGTTCCGTAGCACATTAACATTTTTAATCTTTTCCACGACTAATGGAATAATAATGGGATATAAAGCGACCGTATTGTTAAAATTCTTCTGTACAAAAAGGTGAAGGTAGACTTTCCCTAGAATGCCGTTTTCCATTGTTGAAAGAAAGCTTCGTGTTGACAGATAAATACAGAAAACAATATGTCCTTGCACCTTCAATTTGCTAAAATGTTCAAATGAATTATTCCAGCGTTTGCAAAAATGGAACCCTCCTCACCTACAGCCGGCATTCCTCGCAGTATCGCTCGAACGGTATTAATGGCCAGTTTCTTGTCACGTTTGTCCAATTTGCCCCCCTCCTCGTAAATACTGCGTGCAAGTGAGGTACTCCTGGGCCGCCTTGTCGAGTCCCACATGTACTCGCAATATTCAGACATCTTGTTGCGTATCCTTTTTTCCGCCTTGCCACGAGATCTGAAACAATCGGACCATCCGGTAAGAGTCGGGGAATCCTTCTATTTAACGTACGTTAAATCCGCGTATATTTGTTTAGCTGTCATTCTATACGTGTATATTTGAAAAATTTTCGCGAATCTTATCGATGAATTAACATTTACAGTCACACGACTGTATATACATACACCTCCAGATATAAGATACATGGAGAATGTATGTGCGTGAAACAACGTACTGCAAATATGGAACGGTTGAAACGGGACACTCCCTGAAAGTAGATGAGACATCTTATGCAAACGAAATTTATCTTCAAAGTGTGTTGTATATGTACAAAAATGATCAATTAATGTAAACGTTAGATTAGCCGATATGCAACTCGCACGTGTAAAAACATTGCTTAAGCGACGATCTCGCTTGGTTGAAATATAAGCAACAGTCGAAAATCTATTTAACTGCTGTTTTAGAATTGTATATAGGTCTTTATTGTGTAGACGTTGTGTGTGAAAAACATCATTATCTCGATTATTCAAGACCGTAATTAGTAAGAGATGAAACAAGAAGACTAGACAGAAATGACTCATTTCTAGGTGAAACACCGCTGAGGGGCAACACATCTTGCAAGGGAACCGCGACCGGTTTTGTTTGCAGCAACTGCTTATCGAGACTTTTGATCTCAAGAACCCCGTAAAACCTTACGCGAGTAATTAATGACCTCGGGTTACATTTTGCAACGCAGATATCACTCGATATCACGACTGTGAATCTATAATCTCGCTGTAAAAATTCCGAAGGAAACGCGAAGGAAGAGATTTAAACAGTATTGCAGTTCATTGTGAATAACTATAATAGTAAATAATAAGTACATATTACACTTTTATAAATTATATACAACGTGTGAAAGATGTTTTATATGTTAAATATTATATAAATATTATATAAAGTTGGACATATGTCGGAGAATAATCACGCCCATGTCAACGCTATTCTAAACTATTAAGTATAATTTTCTGTCTCCAGTGTTTATTTTTATCGACAGGAAAAAAATAATTGCACACAACAGGACGAACTTGTTACTCGGAATTTAAATATAATCCTGTTAATCGCGACGCATAAATCTGTAATTGTAGAGTAATTAAATACAAAAAATCATTAAAAACATGACTTTGACACTTAGACTTTGAACTTGAAGATCGAAAAAACTCGAAAGAAATTGTTCACAATTCATTACGATTATCGTGATATCGATCGTCGCCATTGATCATGTTTAACTCATTAAGTTATTTAACATGACATCTGCGTTACTAGAGAACTCATTTGAATTTGTAAAACGCGCATCTGCAGTCATTTAAGAAAACTTGTATTTCAAAAAAACGAACGACTGCTTATGTAAATCCACGGTTTGATCCAATAGAGCGACTTATATTTTCACGATGAACTTACGTAAAATGTTATTTTCAAATGTTGTTTCAAAACACTTTAACGACGGATCGCACGATTTATTCCTTGCTTTGCTTCTTCTTGTCCACTGTCACACGAAGTTCCGGCGTGATTTTCGCGAAAAATATGAAGGAAGCACCTCGTTCTGGAACTATTTTCGGAACTGTTGCACGATCAATTTGCCCGATAATGTTAATTGTATGCAGTCAGTAACTTTGTAAATAAGAGACAAAAGACAACACAGCCTTGTTGCTCGAACGGTCACGAGCGAACGGCGCGCAATGAAGTCGCCTGTGCGACTCGCTGGAAAGTGTTAGAGAGTATTGGGAAACAAAGGAGCAAGCGAGACTCTCAAGGAGAGACGTTTGCGCCGCTAGAGGGAGAAGGAAACCGAATCGCTGGCGGTGTAACGACGGACTTGAGACGCATCGGTACAACCGTGACTCGAGCTTCCTGTAAGACTCGTACGTTATATTTTTCAGTGTCTTCAACGTAACCAACTTTACATTTGGACAAGCCACCTCGAAGTTCCTGGACTTTTCAAATTTGTTGCAACGATTCACCGTCTGTTTTAGACTGCAAAATTCAGATAACATTCAAAGTAATTCAAATACGCTTGACAAAGAAAAAGGAAAAAAAGAAACAAGGAAAACTAAATGTAATTCGAATTGAATTATCGTGCAATTGATAGAAGAGGATCTGACAGAGAAAAGTGGTTAAGTATTCGTCATCATTTCGACGAAATAGAATGTAAAGAATAAGGACATCAGAGATTAGAGAGGAATGAAAATAACTTGATTGCGAACGGATATGAAAAGGACAGGTATTCCGAGAAGTATTGAAATTGAACGGGAAGAAGGGAGGAGGTTAGAAAGGGATAAAGAGAGAACTAACTGCGATAGAAAGGAAAAAGTATAACGCGTGGGGAAGAGACGAAACATTGACACAGAAGGAAAAGAACGATCACCGAAGGTGGGAGTAAAAAAGACAGAGAGAAAGACGGACGAAGCCGGTTACTACCGCTGACTCACCCGATCGTTCGTCTTGCGCTATCAGGTAAAACTGTTCTCCAAAAAATGCGAACGTCCAATAATAAAATATGTAGGAAACACTCGCAGGTGAAAATGTTACATAATTTTGTGCGTGGATAGTCAGCGAGAATTGAATGTGATATGTTGTTCTAATGGTCAATGAATCTGTTCTGAAATTAATGACAAATTACTTTCCTTCTTTGGTAATTATTTTTAACATAAGAAATGCTAACTGAAGAATAATTTCGCCTTGTGATTTATTGTCGAAGAAAAATCTGTCATGCGATTCATCAGATGTTGAACATTCCACGCCTATGACAAACTTGTCCAGCAAAGTTAACGGACTAGATCAGATACGATCGCACTATCGTCTACGATGTCATGAGTTTGGCTATGGTTTATATTCCATGAATGATCTTCATCACGTGTACTATTGAGAAAAAATTGCTTCAAGTATTTTCACTGTCAACGAAGAACAAAGATTTCGAGAGTAACGAATGTTTTACTTCGGAAGGAGGAGAAACAGATTTATAAAAATATTGCCGCATAATTATTGGTCACGGCTCACTTTAACAATATTCCGTCGAGTCATGCAATTATATAAAATATCGTTTTGTGTTGTTTTCATGAACTTGCTCCATCACCTCGAGCCTCTTTAAATATTTTTACATTTTAAACAACGTTGAGAGATCGTTACGCAACAATCCTTGATTATGAAAAATACATTTTCGATCATTTGAGAAAATAAACGAATTCATACTGTTCGTATATTTCAGCAACAATCGCGATGAGTCACGTTCGAAAAGCGCGAAATTGCAAACAGATTCGTAAACATTCACGGCTATGTGAACGATGGACGATTGTTACGGGCATCATAATGCAATGCACAATTGACATTCGTATGAAAACGAAAGACTTTAGCGTGGAACGTCCTCTCGAAACAAACGTCTGGATGATTAAAAAGCCACTGTATGTATCTTGTTTTATGGCGCGAAACCATTCAATTCTTCCATCGATCGATTCCATCAAGGACAAGAATCTGACAAGCGATATCACGCTTTAGATTAAACACCGTTTAACTTACGGTCAAAATTGTAATTTACAGTATTCGCTGTATAATCTTCATTTCCGATTAACTGCTTAACAATGTGAATTTTCAAACCCTATAAAGAGATAGATGAAAAAGATGAGTAACAATTAAAATAGAATAGCAGTTAGATATTACATAGAAGATTGTAATTATAGTGTTTTCAATGGAGTTTAACATAGCAGCTTCTTAATTTTGAAAAAAATTGTACTTGAGACTAATTTTAATTATTTCAAACATTTTGGTTATTATTTCAAACATTTTGATTATTTCATTATTTCAAACATTTTGATTATTTCAAACATTTTCAAAATTAGAATTCCGAATGGAAATTAGAGTAGCATATGGGATAACAGAAATTTTATACAACATGTTCTAATAATAATGAAAAAGTGTTGCAATAATGGAGTTTAATGATCCTTCAGTTATATTACTGGCAGGTCCAATTGAGTTCAATGAAACGATTAACTCACTGAAGAGGTTCCTAATGGCATTCAACTTCAAACTCGCCTAAGTATACGCAGCAGTTTGTATCAAAGTATAGTGTCGTTAATAAATCTTCTTCATAAGATCAATGTTGAATGCAAAATAATCATGTTCGATTTGTAAAAGTAGCAGTCAACTATCACTTTGCTTTGAATCTTTAAAAAAAATTTCTTTGATCTGTAAAAAAATATCACCAGCTTATGAATTTTAATAACTGAAATATGAAGTGAACATATATTGAAATATAATGTAAATTGAAACTGCGTAATCATGAAATGTAATAACCTTGTATAGATAATTGCGAAATCTGATTGCGATGCGTTTATTAAACGATTTTCAAATTACAACACGTATAAATTACCGATTTTTTTTTTTGCGGTGCAGTCTTTCGTCGTGCACTCGAGGCACAAAAAACAGATCTGTTCGAATAACGCTGCCATATATATTACGCAACATAATGGTGGAAGCATAACAGAGAAAAAGACAGAAGTTACCGGTTTCTTTTGAGGTTGTAGCCGCAACCCATTTTCTCGTTCTGATGCAATCTCAATGCAATCCGATTTCAGTGCTTCGATTTCCAGCTTTCGTCCGACGAATTATTCAAATGTTCTCAACAAATACTTCGCAGAATATTCATTTTTCACGAGTGAGAAACGCTTCGTAGTTCAGCATCCGAGTGAACACGTTTATCGCAAGTGCAAGTACATCGATGAGTTTTTCATTCCTGTTACAGATTGAAAGGAGTTACAGTATTATCATTTCCTTCACGCCAAAGATTTACCGCAATCGTATTTCTACATTTCTATACTTCTTTTGTTGTAGTCATACCTAACTACCTAAATTCCAAAGCTCGGTAAGTTTCTTTATTGCAACGGCCATTACTAAACAGGTAGAAATAAAAACGGAAACAAAGGAGCCTAAGAATAACCGATGAATCCGATTGTCTCGAAAATTGTTACCTGGCAACGATTCTTCCAACTTGTGATTCCGAGAATTTGGGAAAACTATTTCTTGGGGAATTTTATGATCCCTGTGTCACACTGAGTCTCACTTATCCTCTGACTTATGAATCGTGACAGAAGTTGTGAAGAAGACTCGATAAACAGCCGAAAGACAGTTCAATCCATATATTCGAACAGTCAAAAATATCTTACCCTTAAAAGCAATTCAAATCTTATTCTTGGCGAGTGAATGAAAATCTATCAAACCCAGCTTCGTTCAATCGTACAATCTTTACCTTTGAACTAGCTGCTATTCATTAACGTCAAATGCAGCGAGCTATCGATAAAATTTTCGTTCAATACGTAGATTTAGTTCGGTACGTTACAATTGAAAAAGAAAGTGCAATGTAATTACCTTTGCGCGTTACGTTTTTCCTTCTCGTAAAAGGCAGACTGATTATACGTACAAAAAGCTATATTATTACGTATTGTATAACAACCGAAAGATACTAATTATCACGAAGTTTTTCTTCCGCGAAAGAAGTCCGTTGAAAAATAGTATATTGTAAGTGTATAAAATAGTATATGTAGTATTCATCCCTCTTTGTGTTGCTTCGTACGACGTGAAACAAATTAAATGAAAAGAATTGCCTGCAGAGAGGTTAAACAATGTTAAAAAGTTACGAACCGTAACAGTGGCAGAAAACGAGGTATATAAGAAATGGTGTAGTATTTCCTGCTTCTATGGAACCATAAATACATGTACATAGTTACCAGTTTGTGGTACGTCAACAGTTTGATTTCGTATCGAATAGCCGTGACCGCAACTGACACACTGAACTTAGCTGCTGCACCAAACGAGCGAAAAAAAACAAAACGTCTCTTGTCGTTCACACACAGCTGCACATGTTGATGATCCTTCGAAACTGCGAGGCACAAAGAATAATGCTTCCGGAATAGACCAGGTGAACAACAGTACCTTCGGCGCGAAACTGCTTGTTCGAAACTGCCAGTTAACCGATTCGTTCGTGAGCCCTCTATGGTGTTCGCCGTTACTAGCAGGAACATTCTTTAGTCCTAAATGAAAATTTTGCTAACGATGCAGCTGTACTGTGTTTTTTACTTGATATTTTATAAAATTGTATTTATTTTATTATTTATCAAATTTTCGTTGAAAATGTTAAAAAACGGCTTGATCGAATCTTTGACAATATAAACAATATCATCCGAGTATATTTTTCCAGTTTTTTAGTGGTTGTAATTTTTTCACGTTTTTCTTTTTTTTATTTATTTACAAAAACGGTTTTAACAAATTGAAAAATTCTATTCTTTCGTACGGTTGGGTGATAAATTCTTTTTATAAAACGTCAGATGATTAGCATGACGGAAAAATTAGTTGATATAACTACCGTATGAGGTCACTAGTAAGGATTTAAAGAAATATGAAATATGACATACATACAATTGTACATTGATACGTAAGCACCAATTTATCTGTTATATAATTGTTATTATAGTACAAGTTGCTGTTGTTATCTAAGCTTCAAGAGTCACAAAATCTTTCCTTTTTTCCTTCCACTCAGTTTACGATATCAAATATTTATATATAGTATGAATTTTCTGTTACAACAAGATTACGTTTAAAAAATGTGCGATAACTTAAAATCATTTAAATTGGCACTCTAGACTTAACAAACAGTAAACAGAAACGTTTATCAAACATTCATTATCGAAACTCCAATGTAAAAGTTGTAACTCTATTTTTAAATATATGCGATGTTTTTAAATAAATTCGACAGATTCGTAGAATCGAATTGAAATTATTATCAGTTCGTTTGAATGAATTCGAACATTTTGCGATACTAGCGCCACGGTATCAGACATTTCTACTGTTAATTCCCGTGATTCTACACAAAATAAAAGAAATCCCTACCCAACGTTTTAAATCCAACGACAACGAATCAGATTCATCTGATTCAGGTTGCCTTGAATATTTATCGTTGCTCGTTCAGTATAGCTGAAAGTTGACTGTCAGTCTGTAACTGGCTTCCTGGCGTCGAAGTTAGTGTACACATTTTGTACAAACGAGACTTATCAGTGATTTCGTTGCATATACATTCGACCTACATCGATTATCCGCGAGCCTACTTCTGGTTCTCTAGTTCCATTGATCGAGATAATTTTACGTATTCATTAAATCCTCTGACGCTGTGCAATTGCCGAGGTAAGTCTAACAACAATTACAGATAAGTGTCGATTTGTTTTAACAAGAGTGTAGGAACAGAGAACAACGTTGTTCTAAGATAAAAAAGTAAATTAGAAGTAACAGAAGATGAGTGAGATTAATAGATAATAATATTAAAATCTTAAATTTTTTACACAATCGGACAATTTTATTTCACTTTTATTTTGAACGAATAAAAGAAACCAGACCCTCTAAAAAAAAAAGTAGATCGAAGCAAGTTATTTAAAGGATCAATTACAACTTCATTCTAAGAAAAGCAACTTGCATTCACGATAAACACGATCGGGTTTCGAGAACGAAGAAAAATCGATCGATTTTATTGGAAATTAAAATCATTTTTTAGACGAGTAGCATACTGTCAGATGAATAATTGCAAATGAGATTATTTTTTAAACAAATTTTTCTTTCTTATTTAATTGAAAAATTTTTCGGAAACAGCTAATCTTATATAAACAATCTTATATATTAAAGTTCTTTTTTCAAAAAGCTTTCCAATTATTATTTCTTCATTAAAACTTTATTATCTTCGATCACTTGGAAAATTATATACGATTTAGTTAAAATATTTTGCAAGAACAAAAAGCTAGCGTTTCGGCATAAGTGATTTGCAAAAAATGAATTTCATTCGAAAATGTAGTTGACAAATGTGTATTTCTAGTTTTTAATTTACAGAAATATGATACATTGGTATAACGGTACATTGTGCCATTCTAGTGAAATAATTTCCATTCATTTACTCCTTTTGATTTTGAAATCTCTCTGTTTGTTCATTCATTAACCTGATGATTAATTTTTCACTCATTAATTATCGAATAAATATTCTATTTTATTTATTAAAGTGTCCAATAAAAAGCAAAACTGTTATGAGTTTCTTCGAAAATAATAAATGTTATTATTATATATAAATGTAAAAGAATATTATTATTACTATGCTCCAATGTTAATTGTTTTTAATTTATATTATTATTATTACTATGCTCCAATGTTAATTGTTTTTAATGTATTATTGATAACTGTTTTAATTCCAAATAATCAAATTACATATGATCGTCATATTATATTGGTCAAATCAAGTATTTTATATGTGTAATTATAAAACAACTAATTTACATATAATACATTTATGTTCGTCTACGTTTATACATTTTGTGAATTTTATTATCGTTCTTACAAAAATCTATAGATTTCCTAATCATTTTCTAAACATAAAACCGAATAAAATGATGGATATAATTTATTAATTAATAATAGAAATAATTATACGCAAACATTATTTCCTTTAATTTAATGTTTTTGATGAACAAGGTCGACAAATGTAACATATATTATATCAGTATGTAATTATAATATTAGTGATACAATTGAAACAGATGCAAAATGTGTATAATTTAACACATTTGATCCAAACTTAATGCGTGTATCAAAGTAACATACGCTTTTTTTTCTTAGCTTCTTTTTTTTTGTTAAACCAGATAAAAATCATCAATAAAATTATCAAGCTACTTTTAGTTTATTTAATCCTTTGATAATATCAATTTTTGTTTTTTCTATAATTTTTACCAAAAATTTTTCATGCTTATCATCTTGACATATATCGCGTACATTCTGAGAATTTTGTAATAGAAATAATCGTATAATTGTTATCAACATCAACAATTTATTATTTATTAAAAATTTTTCTTTTTTTATCTGTCATGAAAGATTATTTTATAATCTAAAAAACAATCATGATTCAAAGTGAATCGATCTTGCATTTTTCATTTTACAGTGATTTATGTTTATAAAATTAAGTTTTCTTAAATTTTTAAAGTGATTCATTAAATATTAGTTGTATTTAATAATGAGTTGAATTGGACAATGTTTATATATTAATGACAACGAAAATAAAATTTCATGTATAGTATAATTATTGAAATTGTAAAATGAAAACTGTATTTAGTTTTATTTTTATAATTTAATCTAATCATAATTTGATATCATTTTCGATATCATTTCAAATTATTATTTCTATCTTAATTTTTTTTATTTAATAATTATTCTTATTTAAAGTCATCATTACTACACTAATACTATTCTATTTTTTCGTAAATGTAAAAATATTGTACAAAAAACTAATTGAATAAAAATAAAAAAGATTCTTACGTAAATTTAGCCAAAACACAATCAGTTTGTCAATTGTCAATTGAACCTAACCTATCGCTACGAATCAATTTCACAAAAGTGAAATCTCATAAAAAGTTCACTTTCCTTTAAAAAAAAGTCAATATAACGAATTATTTTATTTTCTTTTTTCAGAATTTTAATAAAATGTACACATTAAGTCGATTACACCATATCTCATCATTTCTGATGTACATATTCACATTATACGAGGGATTTTTGATAAAAATACCTTTGCTTAGCAAAAAGATTCCAATTAGTGACTTTGATCCAGGAGCAGTTAAGTTCTTGACAATGTGGAACGTGGTAAGTTGCTTTTATTAATAAAATCGTATTTCTTTAAAACCATTTTATTCTTTCATTCATCATTATTTATCATTATGTTTTATTCTTTATTATTTCCTTTGTTTTATGGTTTGTAGGGTGTAATTGTTTATTTATTAAATCATTATAACAATATTTATTAAATAATTATAATAAATGTAAATTATAAAAGATACTGTATTACAAAAAATAGTTGTCTCAAAGAATATAAAATAATTATTTTATATTCGGATAATATAATATATTTACTGTTAATTAAGTACCAAGATTTTTTAACCTAAAATATATATATTTTCCATGATATTTAAGAGATGTAAATCATCATAGATATTGGCTCAAATGTTTTGAAGCAAAAAAGAATATTATTTTACAACAACAAAAGTTTAAAAAATAACGTTTAAATAAAAATTCTTATATATTATTCACTCAAAAACAATTTGTTAATTAGAGCAATATATTTGGACTTAATAAATTTATATTAACATTCGTGTTAACGTGTTGATATAAATATATTAATTCTGTCAGCTGAATAAATATTGTGAGACGTATCGCGTTGCACATTTTACAACATTGTGGAAACGTCAATAGATGGCACCATGTTAAAACTTAAGCGTCATAACACAGGCTCGTATGCCTCTAATACCACAGTCATAATTCGTGCATATTCACTGTTATGCTAAAATAACATGCTTTCTTGACGTTTGTTTGACAAACTTGTCGTAATACTCATTGTTTTCGAAACACAGTTCTCTTAATCGAACAAAGTTGCAATTTAATGAATATCTTACAGATGAAAAATATTGGTGATGAAAAAGTAAATAATGTTAATTCATTTGCGGAATTGTAACAATATTTTACAAATTATTACAAAATGCAGTTATACATTGTTGTATACGTAGTATGATTGCCATGCATACATGTCCATTCGTCTAAATTGTTGACTTTTTAACGTCTAAATTTGCTTATCGATTAGATATAATCGATAAAAATAAGCACTTGTATTTTATTATTTAACGAGGTCAACAAACGTATCTACAGAATGTTAACAAGAAGGGTTTAGAATTTAGAATTTCAATGGCAGATAAAAAAAAAAGTTCTAATGGAAACTTGTGTGGAAACGGGAGGGAGATGTGTGGAAAATTTGTAAACATTAAGAAGAAGAAATAGTAAAATACTCAGTTATTTATATATTATGATTGATTGCCTGAAGCAAGTAAAACATTTCAGTTGAAAATTGCTCATAACTTTTTTAAAATATAAATTTTTCATGTTTATTAGAATGTTTATCTTCTATTAGTTTTTTTTTTATCTATCTTTTATATCTTTTAAACTTTTTTTTTTTAACCATCTGTGCATCTGATCAACGAATTATGACCAAGACATAAAAGGTATATGATTTGCACTATTATAATACTTCCAGTAATTTTTCTCTTCCTTAAATAGAAACTTTTAACAAGTTTTAATTTAGTACGTACAGCAGAGTGTATCACTGAGCATGTGTGCATGATATAATCGTCAATAATATGTACTAGGAAATAGAAAATCACGTAACGTGTGTGATAATCATTCCTGTCTAGTCTTGGGATTCAATTTTTTATTTATTACCAAATAAATACGTAATACATCTTAATGAAATGAATTTGAACTTTCAATTAGAAAGTACTAGAAAAATTAAAAAATAAAATCCAGATAGTAATTCAAAATTTCTCAATGAAACTGAAATTTATATTGTTATATAAAGTTTGAAGAAAAAAAAAGAATATTCAAATTTTTCAGATAAGTCTGAAAGCAATCTTCGACCGCAAAAATTTACGCGCATTCCGTCTGCGCAGAAGAGCATCAACTGCACTTTATCTCTGTCTTCTGATGAATCTCTATGTCGTATATGAGTCTTTGTTTATGTCCTATTTCTACTGCATATTTGTAAGATCAATGCACATTTCGACGATTAAGAAAAATAAAATAAAAACTTATACTATTTGCTATCTATAAGCAAATTTGACAGTGTGTGTTAACTCTGTTGGTAGCAGATACAGTGTGCAGTAGCAGATGCTCTATATTCTGCTACATACACTGTAGCAAATTTTTCTTCTCGCTTGTATTTCCTTTTTATTTTTATTTGTTTTGTAAATTCTTTCTGTGTGCACATCCGTTTTTGTTCAGTTTCTATGGTGGCTCTTGACTTGTGGTTATCTTACTCTCTCCGGACGAAGCTTCAGGCACATAGTGAATTATTTTTCTCTTTCTCACAGTGTATTTTCGTCTATTCGTCAGTAGTCAGTACGTTGCAGATCGTCGGCGCGGTCGATACTATTAGTGCTGTCTGTACATGTGACCGAGAGAAGCCGTGTAATCACGAGAAATTGTTCGAATATTTAAAAAACACGATAATAATAAGATATCGTAGCACTGATCAAACTACTTTGATTCATCGGCACTACATAAACGGAAATTTAACTGTGATACTGTAAGATCATGAGTTTTAACAATTAAGTAGTTCCATATTAATCACTTGCACACGTGCATGCGAGACTGATTATTTTCATTTTTCACAATGATTCATCTAAATGTTAAAATCAATTAGGACCGATCCTCTTTTTTCTTAAATTTATTAATATCTATCTGAAAGGTTACAAAGGTTCAACAAAATGAATTTCATTGGCTATAATTTTTTCCTGTCAACGTGAATGACTTAATCAAATTTAATTTATCACGTTGCATTGTATTCAAAGAAAATTGTAGAATGAGGGTACTGACTTATTCTCTTATACTTTATTATCTTACTTTTCATATGCTACTAAAAATTTGTTGTAAATAAAAATTTTAACTATAAAGAAAGAAATTGGGAACGATTATATTCATCGATATTTAAAGAGTATAAAAAAATCGAAATAATTTTGGATTTTAAATTTCAAATGACATAATAAATTTATTTGAATAACAGGGATTATTACATTCCTATACGTTCATATTGTAAATTTATAAAACAAAGATACTATTAACGTCATTTTTATTCCAAATGTGAATGTTTAAAAAAAATTTGTCAAATTCTTGTTAAAAATATTATCAGTAAAAAACTAATTTGAAAATATTTAACAAACACGTTCACATATTTAACAAAAGTTCATTTCGTGAAAATTTGTTCTTCAGTTATCAATTTTTTTTTTTAAAGAACTCAATCTTTAATCTATTCTTATGTAATTACTTTATTAGCTATCTACTCTTTTCTTTTCTTTTTTTTTTACAATTATGAACAACAATTCGTGCGTTGGTTAATGCTTACTATATGGAGTGGTGGTTGGAAGTGGCGTGGAAAGCAAAGTAAATGCCAATGACTATCAACAAGTGTACTATTTACAGTACATTGTTCTTTTCTTTTTTTTTTTTTTTTTTTTTATAAAAAATTTCTTTTTATATTGAAATATTATTTTTATACGTGATTATTTTTTAGCACAAGAGAATCGTTTGAGGAAAAAAAACACGTGTACATAAATACATGAAAAACGTTTTCTATGAAAGTTCTCAGAATTACATTGATTTAAATAATGTAAATCTGACTTTGTAAAATAAATAAATCTCATAAATAATTTATATGTATAAATATATGAATGAATAATTTATGTCGTTATGGAAGCACCGTAGCACTTAGATAAAATTTCTACTGCAACATTACAGACTCTTGTAATGCAACTTTCTTACGTGCTATTTACGTAATTCGAGAGTAAATTTCCTTACATAATTTTTGAACACAATATAACAGTTTCTTTCTCTAATCGACTTCATAAGTATAAGGAAATGCATATACGAAAGAGATATGTATTTCTCGTTAACATAATTTAGTCAATATTTTATGCAAAGAAAAAGATATTCTTTTTCTTTGCATTTTATACACTGGAATTTTCATAAATTATTTTGTTGAATGAATAAAGCATCAATATTGAGAACAGAAGAAAAAATTACGTATAATATACGTACTGTTTCAATTTTAAATGCAAAAGTCTCACTATAAAAACAGAGGATCCACCAATCAACTTTTACACGACTTTTACGCGATATTAAGAAACATTTATTAAAAGAGTGAACGTATAGAAAAGATATTTTTTTTTTTTTTTATCAATTCGTTCCTGTCTGATTGGTCGAGATACAATCGCCATCATGGAAATTTATTAAAACATTTCAGACTACAAAAATATTGTATGTGAAATACTTGCAAGATGCGAGACGGTCTACTGATTGGATTTCACGTGATCTCCTGTGTGCAATTCGCATTCTCTGTGTATTATGATTACATGTACACTATAGTTCCTCCGAATGTACTCAAAGTACACAACGGCTACGGCGGGAAATTCAAGTTTCTCACTTTCTGGGACGCGGTTAGTATAATATAACGAACAGATCTTCTTTTTTACAATCATTATTATTTACTCAATTAATCGCGTGACTATTTTGTAAGTATAATACTTGTCATTAGTGAGCGAGTTAAATGTAATTATCTTTAAGAGAGATATTTAAGTCCATATTAAAGTTATTACACTGTTGATTTAAATTCATGAATAAATTTAAATGAAATAAATGAAGTGCTATATTTTATGTAATAAAATGTATTCTCATAGAATACAAGTAAACATCAATAAATGCATGTAATTTTTTTGTTGTGATGAATATAATAATGGATTGGCTGACATGTGGCATTTAAATAAGAAGAAAATATGTAAATAAATAAATGCTGAATATTGACTTATCTGTGTTTCAAATTTGTTAATTTAAATGAAAAGATTAAACATCTTTAAAAATACACTAACGCATATAGCATTTTTGTTAATAATTTATCACAAATTTCGTAATGTATCAATTAACCATTAAGGTTTTGTAGTATTATTTTATTAAATTTCTTTTATATGTTTTATTTTAATTATTTTTCTTGGAAATATGATGCTCGTTAAATTGCAAAGGAAATACTCCGTTGTCTTATATTTTCGTTACGTTTCACTGAAAAAATCGCTTTCTGCACGAGATTGAATTAAACTATTTTTTAATCTAATGACTGGTTATATAAGTCGTAACAAAAAACCGCTAGAAATGAAATTTCTAATGGTCTGGAAAAAAGGGAAAACGATTATGAGTAAATATTGTCTTTAAAAGGAAATATAAATAACTCTTAAATATTCACTCTTATATAATCAAAATTTCTTAATTATTATTCCAAACAGGAGAAATTAAGCGTGTAATTATCTCTTGTTTCAGATTATTCAAGCAATATTTTTCTTCATATGCATTTTGAATGATTGGTTTGGTACAAATGCAGTTAGTCCTAAAAAACCGCCCTTTATACGCAAACTCAAGGATCATATCCACTCGATTCTTGGTTTCCCGATTGCTATGGTATGTTAAAAGAAGGAAAAAATTAAATCAAAGTTCCATATACATTTTCTTACAATTTTCTTGGATTACAGTTTGTTGGAATAATATTCTGGGCTTTAATGTTTGTGGACCGAGAGTTGGTATTCCCAAAGGCGCTGGATTCATACTTTCCATGGTGGTTGAATCATTTGATGCACACGATGATCATGGTTTCTACTTTTATAGAAATGATATTATCCCCTAGAAAATATCCATCGAGATCGTATGGTCTCTTTTGTCTAACTTTCTTCATAGCCTTATATTTAATTTGGTACGTTGAGAAAGAAATCAGAAATTATGAAGGAGCTTTATCAGCTCCTTCATTTTACAAGTGTAAATTAATTTTAAACTTTTGAATTGAAAAATTTCAATGTTTCAATATCATTAAATTAATTACGTAAATTGTTCCGATTTTCAGGGTGCATATAATTTTCTACAAGAGCGGTATCTGGGTCTACCCAGTTCTAGAAGTACTGTCGTTGCCGTTACGAATTGTATTCTTCACTGTACTCCTCTCGATCACCTTGATCTTGTACATGATCGGGGAAGCAGTGGACAACTTCTTTTGGGGTAACGAATATACTAAAAGCCAAAAATCTTACGCCAAGAGCAAATAGCCTCACCTATGGTGATTAGCTGCGCTGACTTCGGTTATACATTTAGCCTCCGCTAAGGTGGTGGTGAATAAAAAATAAAAACCAATTTTCTACCTCCTCCTTCTCCTATTGTCCTTCTCCCCACTTGTCCTACGTTACAGCATGCACGTGTATCACGCCAACGAATGAATCTTTCTTTCGAAAATTCTTAAACAAAAACATAAAACAATAATATGTGCATGCAGAAAAAGGAGCGCATTTCTTTCTTTTTTTTATCCGAAATCAGAAAGCACGAGGAGAACGCGGTCGTTAATAACTTGTTCACTCGAAGAGGGTTACGTAACTGGAGCATGTAGATGAGACTTTTTCTCTCGTGTGGTTTGTGTCATATATATATATATATAAAAGAAGGGAAGACTAATTGTAACGATTATATCGCACACTCTGATGCCTAATATTCATGGTGTAAATGTAAATTAAAAATTGGAAAGAAATGGCAAGAAAAAAAAAAAAAAAAAAAACACGGACAACACACATACGTACACACGATGCAACAGCTATTACATTTTTATACTTTCGACAATATTTGTCACTCTGGCAATAAAGAAATTATATGTAAAGTATAGAAAGAAAGGAAGAATATGCAATATTGAAAAAACGGTGAAGTGTGAATACGTGTGTGGAATGAATGCATTGTTCCGCGTTTTGGAGGTATATCAACAGGCACGTTTGCAAACACTATTTTACCGAATACTAAAATCCGGTTGTGTTTGTACCGAGTATAGGAAAAAAATACCTAGCTGAAAGTATCGGACTGGATTTGAAAGCGTAACGAAGTGAGGCGAATCGAGCAAGAGGAACGTGCTTTTGCTGGACTGATCAAACAAAGAAATCATTAACACGTTCACTTGCGTGTTCATCAGGATTCAATCTCATCGTTGGTTCTTATGCTGAGAACGTAGTGATGTAGATGAAAAATACATTCACAGTAGATCAAACTTTAACTACAATCCAAGTTTGGCATTTCATTTTTTATATAGTGTATAAAGAAATATATGATAGTACCAGGAATATAAGGTTTGTTAACGATTTTTTTGTTATATCTCTAGATAAATAAATTAGAAAAGAAATATTATTATAACTGTTACTGCAAAAGTATTAAGAATTAAAAATCATTGTTGAAATTTATTGAAATGTTTTCAATAAAACTGAAATGTTTTTTTTATAATATTGACATAATAGAAACTTTCTGCGCATAGCTTGGGTTAGAAAGTCGGGAAAATACTAAACTATCAATTATCGATAAAGAGTTGATCATTTCTATAATTACTATGTTAATGAACCTGAGAAAAAATGCAAAGTGCTGATATTCAAGAAAGACACTTATTTACAAAATTATATATTTTCATACTTGTTTCATAATTTTTCGAGAATAATTTGTTATTTAAGCAATTTAATAGTTAGAATAAAAGTTATTTAAGCAATAAAACGGAGGCAGAAATTATTGAAGAAACTTGTTATATATATATATATATATCATTTTTTAAATATTGTAAAATAAAAATGCCTTTTTATATAATTTATCTACTCTTTTTATTTAATATTATACTTTGTTGTATTGAAAATATAAAATACCACGATTTCTTTCAATTTGTTGCACAATTTGTATTGAAATTGATAGAAAAATTAGTAGTATAAATTTGAAATAAGAAAATAAATTTTACTTGTATATTTATATCTAATTTAAGTACAATAGGATATGCTAAAGTTTTTAGAATACTGTAATATACAGAACAATGTTAAAAGTAGATTTAGATTGTTCTGTATAAAAAGTCAAAGGAGAATTATACTTACAATACGTTTATAATTTTAGTATTGTAGAAAGTCGTCGAATTATTTTTTACCACATCGGAACTTTATCGATAATAAAATATATAAAAAATATATGCTACTAAGACTGAGTTACTTTAAAATAGTATTTACAGTTCAAGTCATGCCATTGCACCATTGCAAATATACAATCACAATAATATGTAACACAATGCTAAAATCTTGCTGAAGTAGTATAATAATCATTAATTGAAAGTGAGAAATTTTGAACTTTACCTTATTTGAAATAATTTTCGTAAAAAGAGTCTTTCGTACGCAAACGTAAACTAATGTTACGTAACGATATTTTTATTCTTATTCAATTGCGGTGAAATCTGTGTTCCTTTTGAGCTACAATGCCGACTATTGATAATCTCGTCTATGCTTTGTTTCAATTCTTCCATTTCTAGAATGTCCAATGGTAACGACGTTTGCGTTGCCATTTCTCGAGCATTGCCAGTTTGACCCTCGGTTTGTATGAGTCTTGTCAATTCAGGACAACATAAGGTTAAGCTAGATGCCAGATTTCCCATTCCAGCTTTTCTATACACCTCTTTTATTTCCGCATCGCTTTTCAATTTAATATCATTAGACTCCTGGAGCAAATGTTTCAAAATGGTTTCATCTTGGAGCAGATATTTACTCTTACGACTTTCTCTGCTCCTTCTATCACTTTCGTGACTATAACTTTTCGAACTCTTGTTACTAATTTTGCTCTTGCTACGTTCGTGAGGTTCTTCGGGATCTAACATCTTCGCCTCCTCTTCCGGTTGACTGTCATCACTGTCACTGTCTTGATCTTGATCATCCTTCTCCATATTTCCACCTTCGATATCCACGTCTTTTCCCGATATTCCTTGATGCCGCTTCTCCTCGCTACTTAAATTTTCATCGCTGCCGCTTTGCCCTGGAAATAGAAACGGAAGAAGCATCCCCGCGTTCTTTCCATCGAATAGTTTAGGGTTCAAGGTTCGTTCGTCCAAGCCAGCGCTAGCCGATCGTCTCTTCATATTCGGCACTTGAATAGATGGTACTCTCGAATTGCCACCTATGGTCAATGCCGATAATATCTGTGCACCGAGTTGACTTTCCTGCGATGTTGTACTGCCTCTTCTAAACAATGGACCCACTTTACCTGATCTAGACTTCCCGAAGTCCCGTCGCCGTTTCCCGCGACGACCACGTGAACTGCTAGCGACTTTTCGCGTTGTCTTTAGTTCAGCTATTTGTACTGATATTTGAGAGTCCAAGGAGTTCCTTCTCGACTCCACTGATACTCGACGTACACTAAAGCTGATCTCAGAATCTACGGAATTTCTTCTGTTGCTCGATACAGAGCCTGTTGTACCACCGACAAGTGCACCTCTGCGAGTAACCAACTTCGGCAAGGCAGCTGCCCACGTTGAACTGAAATCTTGAGAAGCTACGGAGTTTAGATCGAAGTTCAAACCGACCGGGTCCTCGTGGGTATTATGGAAGCTGATGGACAATCGTCCAGCATTATTGAATGTCTTTCGTTTTGCAAACGCTTGAGCGATCACTTTATGTTTCTTCAGTCTAATAGGCTCTTCTGTTTCACAATTGAAAGTTCTGAAATAAGAAAGAAATGTTAACACACTTAATTTTTGTTAAACTTGAAAATCAGATGAAAATAATTTTTAAAATTGTACCGTCTAAGAAATCTGGTCCAAGTGTCTACTGTTGAACCAGTCCACACCCATGAAGACATAAGAATACCGGCGAAAAATGGTGAAAGCAAATGTAATTGCATTTTAGCTGCACTTGGTCGTACTTCCATTTTACACTCAGAGATATCCAAATACTTTGTTGTTATTGCACATCTGTACATAAAATATAAACACGATATATTGCTAGTCCCATTTTTTTATGTTTTGATTTTCTTACATCATGTAGTTTCTAAAACTTCGGCGCCACTCCTCAGAATGTTGGAACTCGTAAATGTGACAATAAAAAGTCACCACAACTGCAGCGAATGTGAAAATCGAAAAAAGTCCCATACGTACGATGGTTTCTCGTATTTTAGAACTTGCTCTTTCAGATATAATTTCTTGACTACTTATTTTTAGTCGAATCAAAGTAATTAATCCTAAAAATATTAACAGGAGTTTAACGTTAACTTGAAATAAAAATATGACCCTCTAATATTTATTCTTACTAAGAGAAAATACTTACACTCTATGATGTTTATGAAAGCATACAAAGAAATATATCTCATTATGTAAGTAGAAAATATAGAATAGTAGGGAGTTTAAGATATAAGAGTGTGAATTTGAAACATACCTCTGCATAAGAAGTAACCTCCAACGAGTAAAACAATCAACACAGGGCCAAGCAAAAACCAAGCTCTGACTGCATGATTAGTGTAACCCACGAAACATATACCAGTAACGCTATTTCCATCAATTTCCCCCAACGCCATGATTGTGACAGTGAGCACAAGTGGTAAACACCAAGCGATTAAATGGAAGTATGAACCCTTCTTGTCAATTCTGTCTTGAATTTTGCCTAATGCTTGAAAACTCATATGCCAAGCATACGTAAGGATTACAAACCACACCATAGCTGCCATAAGGGAGTAATATACGAGAACAAATACTACGACACATAACAAATTTTCTCCACTGAAAATAGAGTAGTATACAAGGTTTTTATGTTCGACTCGATGTAGTGATTTTTAATGAAATCACGACAGATAAAGTTACATGACAATTTATTGTACTATACACAATTAAATTACCTTGGTTCACTCATTCTTAAAGTTCCATCTTTTCTGCACACAATCACATCTCGGTTTCCTGTAAATTGAGCAAGCCATCCAATACAGGATACCATGAAACAACAATTTATATAAAATATGACTAAAGCTGGATATTTATTTGCACTTCTCCAATCAATCAAAAATGTTATCTGAAATAAATTACATTCATTTTATATTTCTTATCATTATGGATATTTATGCAAATATTTTTCTGAATATAATTTAAAAAATTAAAGCTAGATCTATTTCATATATTCTCAAATATTAATTGCATGCTGTGGATTTTTACATTCTTAGAGTCTTAATAAGTGTATAAAAATTCGTAGTTTAATTATTACTTACAACAGTGAACAGATTAAATGAACCACAGATGCCTGCAGCCCAGGCAATGAAAGAATGAATTTGCTTATGTTCATCTGGTGTGAAAAGCGGATCGTTGCACTGTACTCCACAACTTTCAACGCCTTCAAAAATGGCAAGTGCATTATCAGTTGGTACCAATGGCTTTAGACATTTACCAGAGATATTAAATTTTAACTCTCTAATATCGTTTTTGCATAATCTGGGGAACAAGTCTGTATTTTCACATTTGACAAAACTTGGCCATATTGTATGATTGAACACAATTCTACAAGGCCCTGAAACCATTTTACACATCTCTTGTGATGGTAAATCTACTGTGTTGTTGATACATTTTGGCATAAATATTGAGCACAGGAGGGGTTGAACAACTGCCCAACACTTTGGCATATGTCTTAATGCTTGTAATACATGTAATTTTTCCTGCAAAGTGAAGAAATATTTAACAAAATAAAAAACAAAACATTCCTCTAAATGTAAAAGATAATTTTAAATAATATAGGAGCAAATACAGAAGCATCCCAGCATCTAGGAATGAGATAGTCAAGGCAGGATGCACCTGACTTGATTTTAAATAGGATCTTTTTGACCTGGGACCAGGTATAACAGAATAAAAAAAAAAGAGAAAGTAACTTTGAAATTGCTGATGAATTGAGATTTACCTGTTGCAACTTAAAAAGCAAATGTTACAGTATTAAGTTCATAATAGTCACATTTAAAAGTACCTATATGTGTAATACATGTGTAATATAATATACCTCTATAATATCTTGAGTTACATGCTCAGGTATGAGATCCAATGTAGTAGTGGTATATGACAATCTCGTACCCATACAAGTACTCCTTTGCATTTCTACACATTTTGCGGGCCTGTGGCAATTCAAAGAATCAGTCGGTAATTCTCTTATAGGATACCTGTCCAGCAGGTAACTGGAATCCTTAATTCTGTGTCTGGGACTCAGCTCTAGATCGTGTTTCCACGTGTCGTTTTCACTGTTCGAATTAATAGCGAATCCGTGCGCCAGATCCGACGACACTCGACGAAAGATTAAAAAGCAACAAATCAATAGGAGTGTCATCTGAAAAAATTAATTATTATTATTACTATTATTATTATGTTTATTATTATTAAGTCAAATCAAAAGAAAAAAAAGAAAAAAGAAAAACATGTTATGCGGCAATATAACTTGTTATTTGTGACTTTTGTAATCGCGCGATTCCCGGCATGTGTGTGTGTGTATGCGTGTGCGTGTGTGTGTGTGCGATATCAACTCAATTCAAAAAAAAAAAGTCACGTGTACCGCAGCACAGATGAACAATAAAAATATTTTTTGAATAAATATAGTACCTTCGGACGCATTATTTACAACTACACGCCGATTGTTTCCCGAACAAACGTAGAATACCACGGAGAAAGCTCTCCGCTTCGTTCGGACAAAGCGCCTTGCATCTTCTACGCTCGCGACAGTCGTATCCAGCATACGAACGCTTGGACCACACACGCGTTGCGTTTGCTTCCAGGCCACCCACGACGAGCCCGATGAACTTGCTCATACCTCTTTCCGGTGTTTGAATGCACGGTGGTGTAAAAAGTTTCGTGAATACCTCGCCAGGGGCAACACCGTCGACGATGCGCAATACAACGTGCACATCGAGCGCGGGAAATTTTATAAACGATTTCGACACGAATAAAATACAAATAATTTGCGGTGTTGTATAATTCACAGAACAGTTATTGCAGTCTCCGTGACGAAATGTGCCATCCTGCTTTTATCGACTTCTTTATCGACGAGAGTTCCAATAATACGCCACGAATACGTAATTTTATAAATTGGTAGTTTTTAATTAAAAAATATACCCTGCCGAAATATCACTTGTGCTACTCACAGTTACTAACTCGAAACGATATTTCTTCGTAGGAATTTTTATCGCGATGTCTAATTATTATACATTCAGTAAGCCGTTTCATTTGCATAATCAATATGGACAATGCCGAGCGTTGTTTTTCAATGGAATGAAGAATGAGAAGTAATGTAGTATAACAAAAACGCGATGCGTGATGTAATTTCACAAGTTCCAGCGTTAATTTGCTCGTCAATTATTTTCACCAGTGTCGACCTCTGCGATACGTTTTCTTTTGCAGTACAGGTGTTGCAGCATGTGAATCGTCCAAAGGTGATCGCGTGTAAGGTGGACGGTTTATTTTGATAGATTCGATAAGTTCACGCTGTTAATTGAAGATAATATACGATAATATTTTAACCTGGCAACGAGCCGTAATATTCGAGTCATTGATTTCCTTTGTCTGGCCTTTCTTCATTCCGGTGTAACAGGAAATATGATAATTGCCCCGTATAGTTGATTAGCTGCTGGTGTTGATAATAACATGCTGTTAATATATGATAAGCCTGTACCGTGTACGCATGTACTCAAGTTGGAATTAATAGCAGGGGAACATAATACAACAAGATCTCTCGGCAATTTATGGTCGGTGTTCGATAGTGAAGCAGCCTTCGAGGTGACAGATGTGTCGTAGAATAACCTGAAAAATTATTTTCACCGTGCCAATTTTTGTCGTTTACTTTGAGGTGTACGAACAGAAAGGTAAAGCATTCTTTTTTTTCTGAAAGTCAACATAAATAATTTTACAGGAAAACTTCAGACAAGATATTTCATGTTGGAATTTTCTTTCCTTTACAGTTGAAGATGTCCAAGATCCTCTATTTAGGATTGTATTTGTTGCTTCTTGGGGATTGCATTTGTGATTATCCAGACTGGGATACAAAATGGCAAATGCTGTGCCCTGGTTTATATCCAAGAGCTTTCACAAGTTACACGCCACGTGGAAACCTTTCTAGTGGGATATACACTACTCAGCATCATTTAAGCACCATAAAACACTGTGTCGCGGCGTGTTGTACTAAGACCGAGTGCAATGTAGCGCTCATGCACAATGGCACCTGTTATCATGTGCAATGCGAAAGTTCCAAAAAATGTATACCTTTGTATAGAAAAGACTTGGCGAATGAAACTCCTCCGAGCATGGTGCTAGTTAAACCTGTAGAAGAGGATGAGATATGGAGCGATTTATTGGATCAGATAAATGATGATACTGGGTAAGATTTCAATTGCATATAGAGTTATTTTTATTATAAATTTGAGTAATTGTATAAATTTATTAATTGTTTCAATTAATATTTCCAGAGGGTTTCTTATGGATGGTACGGAAGGAGATCACATTCTTTTTGGTGGATCAAATGGAATAAGTTGTATCACTCAAACAAATTGTTTAGAGCACGAAATCTGTGTTAAATCTGTGTTATCTGAGGATAAGTCTGACATTGGAGTTTGTCAATGTTCTACTGGATATAAACGAAATATGGCAGGTAATTGTATCATTGAGTATTCATGTTCTATGTATTTTTAATTTGTATGAATTGTGGTAGGAATTTGCACTTTGGTGGAAGACATGGAACTTGGTGTAACTCCACAAGGAAAACCACAAAGTATAAAAGATTCCAGTACATCTATGAAACCACCAGTAAAAAGGCTGTTAGTTTCTGCAGTTTCAAAAGAAGTACGCTTGCCGGAGAATGAAGTAACATTATCTGCGTATACTGTGGCAGAACAAGAAAATGAACATTACAATTATGCTTGGAGTCTTTTAAGTCAACCAGATGGCCATACTGGCATAATGACTGATCAAAACCGTATGACTGTTAAATTAAGTAACTTGTCTGAAGGTTTATATGCTTTTAAAGTAACAGTAAATGGCCCAAATGCCTATGGTGAAGCATACGCAAACGTTAGCGTTTTGCCACGTAAGTATTTTTACTATATTTATATTTTTTAACTTGCGATCATTGTAATTCATAATTTAATATTGTTCACAGCTAAAAGAATAAATCAGCCTCCAATTGCTATAATATCACCCGCATCACAAGTTGTAAAACTTCCAAATACGGGAGCTGTATTAGACGGTTCATCGAGCAAAGACGACGATCGTGTTATTTCGTATCATTGGGAATTGCAACGAGGTCCTATTGGATATCATCCTAATCTAGTTGACACACCTACTTTGCAATTAGATAATCTCATCCCTGGCAACTATACTTTTAAGTTAGCATTGAAATTATTTATTTTAAAAAAATTTCGATGATTCTTTTATATCTCGAATCTCTTATCTTCTTTTAGATTGACGGTCGAAGATTCTAATCATATCACTAATTCTACAAGTGCTAATATAACAGTTTTAAAAGTAACTGACTATCCACCTAGTGCTAATGCCGACCAAGACATTATTATATATTTACCTCAAAATACATTGACACTCAATGGTAACTTAAGTACAGATGATCATGGAATAGCAAGTTGGGAATGGACAAAGAGTCCGTCAGATCAAAATAAGGCAGTAGATATGCAAAATACAAGAACACCGTATTTACAACTGTCTAATTTAGAGGAAGGAATGTATACATTTGTACTAAAAGTAACGGACGATTCGGAACAATCTTCTACAGCTGAGGTTCATGTATTTGTGAAACCACCGACAAATAAACCACCAAAAGGTAATTACGTTTTAATTATTCTTACATTTCCAATGAAAAGAAGTCTGAATATTATTTTATTTTATATCTATATTACATTAAATAGCTGATGCTGGCGAAGATATAACTATAGCATTGCCCGAAACAAAAACTATACTTGATGGTCGGAAAAGTAAAGATGATATTAAGATTGTATCTTATCACTGGGAGCAGTTGAGGTAAATTATTTAATATTATTTAATATTAAATTATTTAATTATGTATTATAATGTTATAATATTACATCGAATTTCATTTAATAGCGGGCCTAGTAATGCTGAATTTTCAGCAGTAAATGAATCAGTTACGAATATTACAAAATTAACGAAGGGTGATTACGAATTTAAGCTGACCGTAATTGATGACAATGGAAATAAAGATTCGGATATCGTCAAAGTAAAAGTTACACAAAGTATGTAGAGTTTCATCTTGTGTTCTGTTAACTAGCAATTGTAATTACTTGATTATCAAAATAAATTTTATCGTGTAGATAAAAATGCTGCTCCGAAAGCTAACGCAGGTGGAGATCAAGTCGTTGTAGCGCCTATTAGTGCACTAATTATTAATGGATCTCAGTCAACTGACGACTTAAGAATTAGTGAATGGACATGGTCGAAGGATCCGTCTAGTCTTGCTATAGGTACTATAGTTCAGAATTCTGACAAATCGCCAATTCTAATGGTAATAATATATTTAATAATATTTTAAATAGACAATGCTTTTTATTCACAGAAAGTATCTTTGAATTTTATTCTTAGTTGACAGATATCGTGCCAGGGAGATACGTTTTTAGATTGAAAGTAACGGATGATCAAGGTCTTAGTAGCGAAGACACTGTATCCGTGATAGTAAAACCTGGTAAATATTGAAAAAGAAAAAAACATATTAAAATAAAACTTCAAATAATATATACATATTTTTTATAGACCCACAGTTATTGAATTTAGTTGAATTAACATTGAATATCGGAGCAAATATGTTAACCGTATCACAAAAAAATTCATTGGTAGTGAAATTACAAATGTTATTGCGAGATGAAGCGTCGATTATTGTTCGGAATTTAAGAGCGGAGCCACATACTGGCAGAGCTGTTTTAATTTTCTATGTAGACAAGAAAGGAGGAAAGGTCACTATGCACGGGCCAGAAGTAGTGAAACGATTGAAAGAAAAATTAAGACAAGATTCAGGTCTTCTTCAGTTGTCCGTTGCAAATATCGATACTGCTGTGTGTCAAAATAATTGTTCACGTAAGTATTTTTTTCTGGAAGGTTAAATATCATTTTCTATAAATAATTTTCTTGTATAAAATTTGTTTTTAAATAGGTCATGGAGTATGTGATCAAGAAACAAGATTATGTATGTGTGAAGCATTTTGGATGCAAAATTTGATACAAAAATATTTTGGCAATGGCGAGTCTAATTGTGGTATGTTAAAATAAATGTAAAAGGCAAATTTTAAATATAAAAATATATTTAACTTATATGTAATTTTCAGATTGGAGCATTCTCTATGTGATAATAGCATTATTATCTCTAGTCGTTTGTTGGGTTGGCCTCATTTGGGGTCTTGTTTGTCTTTGCCAAAGAATATGTACAGGTAAACGACGTTCACTTCGCACCAAGAAAAAGCCACCGCGCTACTCCCTTCTGCAACCGGAACCGGAGGATGACAGCAGCACATGTACGACACCTTTCCTTTTATATGAATTTCGAAATAATATGTAACGAATCTTCATGTGATTATTTTTATAGTTTCCACACACAAAATGGTATTATCGGAATCGGATACCGATTCTGACGACGTCTTATTCGAGCATCGTAAAACGAAAAATAGCAGTCAAGTAAGAAACGGTAAATCACGAAATGGCTTTATTAAAGTGGGCTCTAGAGTGAAAACATGAGGTAACAACCACACTTAAGGTTTAGACGAAT